GAAAGGTGAAGAAATAATAAATGCTCCAATTTAAATAAATAATACTTTTCTCTTACCTAATTCTTGCCAAAAAGATTATTTGTTTGTTTTGTATAAATGTAGCCATTTACTATAAGAAAACTGTTTAAAGTTAGCTTTTTATAATACCTATTTATTATAAGAAAACTTATGTCTAAGGAAACTCATGCAGTTTACTAGATCACTCAGATGGGTCACTACAATTCGTTTACATAGTGATGAAAAAATAAACCAGCAAAGTTTTATGGAAAACTGATAAGTTTTTAATACACTATCATATGATACTTCTTACGCTCATATGTATTTTCCTATGTAAATCTTATGTAACATTCATGCATAGATAGAAATTCAGTCATGCTGAAACTTTATTATTGATTTTTAGATACATAGCGAATCAGAAAATGATAGAGATTGCAAGTAAAATATATGATGTTATCAAAGAGGGAGGGAGTACACAGATTCTAGGCCATTTAATACGAGTCCTAGCATCAAGTTATTTCTTTACTCTCTCACATTTAAAAAAAATATCTATAGCTAATTTGTTTCTATCACCAACTACAAGATTTTCATCTCTATACTCTTTTGCTACACTAGATTTTTGAAATAAATTATCCCACCCATATCTACGAAAGTTTTATCTAACTATATCACTCCCACTCACACAGACTATGTAAAAGATTATTCACCGTAAGAGAACTCTCCTGAGATTAAGTAATTTTAGATCTATAGCATAAATTTAGGGTATTAGCAACTGAGGTAAAAAATAAGCAACGCAACCATATTTCCGATTTATACTCACCACTACGATTCATTTTAATAACATTCTATTCTACAAAGAATAATACGTTATCACCAGAATGATACTGTGCAAAGTTTCAAGAATTCAGCACGTGAAGATGCTTATTACGTTTGATATGACTTTTGCTATACCATTGCATATGACGAGATTCAAGTGAGTAATATCATTGCATCTATTATACGCGTGATGATGGTCAGTGATCTTCTCGATGAAGATCAAAATGCCAATATATAACAAGAAGAGTAATATGTTCATTTTATTTTAAAACATCTATAGAGGCAGAAAAATCGATTAACATTGTGTTGATGTTCTTCTAGAAGCTAGCTGAGTAATAAAACCAACCTACCTTATTATAACTTTACGGAATATGTGAGTCCGTTTTGATTATTAATTTCGATGATATTAATAATGGTAAGTTTTATTTTTCGTTTGATTTTTGCTTTAGTTGCGCAAGACAGATAAAAGGGTTCACTAACTAGGACATCACTTTTTATATGATTCACAGGATCGATTTTGGAATACACTTTTGGGAGGAATTATATTAATATGATCGTATCATGAAAATCTGATCAACCGCCTCTCCTTAACTTAATGCTATCCATATGTAAGGATCATTAAGAGGTCCTTTTTTAATAATAATATACGTAATATTTTTGAGAATATGCGAGAAAGTTTGAGAATAAAAGTCCTTTGATCTTTGCTGGCAATCTTATTGCCCAATAATTTGCCGATCCAGATTTCCTAAATTACCATGTATTAACGCTTAAGCAATAAAAAATTAGTATGTACGGTCTAAAAATTATTACCAATCATCACGAGAAAAATAATTGACTACATTTCGCAGGTCATTCAAGTATCCTAAATGTTTTTTATTTGCAATACATATAAAAATAAATTACATAATGTGAAACTACTCCCAGAATACATTAAGTTTCTATACTAGTAACTACAGACTACTATATATGATTATTTTTTCGAATGATATTTCTCTATTCTAGCTTTTTTTTCTTTGAAGCAAAAAGTTCGAGACGTAGCATGCTATGTCATATGATAATCGCTTCTCACTTCTAACCAATAAAAGCAGGATCTACCGGCTAATTTCAATGACATTTACGCATAACATATACTGAAGAAGAATATGATTCTCCATTTCAAGGTAAACAGCATGGTCTAGATTTGCAAAATATCTGACGGGCATTTCATAAGACCTTGGCTCTGGCTTCATTGTTACAAAAATAGCACTCTGTGACTCTCCTAGCTATTATTATAAAAATAATACATCTAAAAATAAAAACACTGTGAAAATAGCACAGGCGTAGTTAAATCACAGAAGAAGTATAGAGATCAGAGATGACGTACTTACTGCACAACGCTAATTTCTAAGCCACTCACATGATGAAGTCTATGCTTTTACAGATACTATTGGGATTCTGTGATTAAGAGGATCTTTGCATTTGATACGATAAGTTCATTTTCACGATATTCACCAGCGCCCCATTCATCTCTTATATCATTCTATATACTTTCTTCTTTATGGTCTCCTTTGCATAATGGATAGAGTGTTAAACTATTAAGATTAAATCTGTCAACACATTCACCACTATCGCTTAAAGATAGAGAAGAAAAATGCTCCAACACCAACCCAATGATATATTTTCATTTCTCTTCGGAATCTTCAGGCAAGATAGAAATCAGAAGTCAGGATCTATTAGATAATGTTACCTGAGGCACAGATGATATATACTCACAGCTATACATGAAGTCAAAATGAAAAGTCAAAATGGTCGAAATTACGTCATATCACATGATTTTTATATATAGAAAAACAAAAAATCAAAGATGTACGATCTCAGTCAATATCGCTCCGATTTATTTAAAGTAGAATTTATTGATTTATAATTTC